AAAATACGTGATATAATAATACATCTAGTATCTGTTTTCAGATTAGCGACCTTATTGCCATTTGTTCGCAAGTTTATATATTCTTATAGAGTGGATGACAGTAAAAAAAAAACCTGTAAGGTAAGTAAAAAAAAAAACATTTACTATTCATCTAGAAGTTTTTTTTTTGATAAAACTCTTGTGCATAAAAACTCATCAATTATCAATTAAGAAATTATAATGCGACTACTAAAACTAAGTGTTGGATTAACTAATTTGTGTTAGTTCGACTTTGACACCTTTTCAGCAAACCATTGCGTTTTGTTTTTTTTGTTTTTTAGCACACCGACTCGAATAATATACTTTGGTGAAGACCGTGGGGAAAAAATTAAAAATATAAACTGATATATGACTAGACTAAGACCATAGAATTTACTAGGTAGCTATCGGGTCATAAGACATATATAGATCATAAGACAGATGTGGTACACGAGACGGGGGTTAAGTAAACATTGTATAGTGTGACAAATGCGCCGAGATTAAAAAAAAAGCCATAGTATATTGTTATAATATATGGTAAACAATTCCAATTTTTTGTTTTTTTGGTTTAGCCGTGTACGCTTTGGAGTGGCAAATCGACTACTTTTGCCGATATCTAAGTGCGGCCATGTATTTTTTCGCCAACAGAATGCGATTTAAACGTTCCGTTTGGTCGGTGGCGCGTTAAATCGGTCCCGAATTGACAAAAAGCTGTGGCGGCGAAGCGCTATTGAGGAAGAAAGCTCTTTTTTTAATGGCCACTAGATTTATCCATTTCCCGAGTAAGAGGGAATAAAAATGAGAAAAACAACAGAGACGCCGTGGCGAGATAGGGGAGTGTGCAATACAAAAAAAAAAGAAGCTTTTCTATTGCAGAGCAAAGAAAAAAAATATATATATATTTAATATCAGTTGGTCAGTTTCTGGTCGTAGGCCGGACTGTCCGTTCCAGCCTCGCCGCTATCGGACGCGTTCATCTAATTTAACGTTTCTATTTTCTCGTTTATTCCGTACGACTTGTTTTTAAACGATTTTCTGAGACGTTAAACTCCTCACGTTAGGCCGACCGTGTACGTTCATAGCATGTAAACAACATGGTCTCGCAAACGACTTTTGGAAAACTAATACGGAACCGGCGACTCTTCTCCAAATGGCCCAGATCATTTCTGACCAGAAGACACCTTAGACCAAACCTATCTATCATCAAGTGTCTCGCAAAACTGAATCCAGAATTTCGATATTTCTTCTGAAGTTATCGCCTAACAAAATGATTAAAAAAAAAAATTATATAGTCATATTATCTTTGAAGTATTTATAACTCATCAAACATACTATAAAAAACCTACGTTTTCTTACAATTATCAAGAAGGTTATATAAGACCATTTGACCTGTTTGACAAAACATTTTGTGAATCTGTTTATGAATCCTCTAAGATATTGATAACAAAATTAAATCTTTTAAAACCATCGAGACGTTTTTTTTTTTATTAAATCTATAACATTTTTTATACGTCTTATATTGGCTCGGACGAAGTGTAGTTTTTTTGGGCCTAAACTTGGTCTCCATTCTGCCGCTGTTTCTAGCACAAGCGTTTGGGCGATATTGGCCACGGATAAAGTGGTCATTTTTCTTTCGGTCGCTAACGGCCGCTAACAATATATTTATCGTTTTCTAAAAAAAGAAAAAACTCCCCTGCAAACTATTTTCCTCCCTGCTTTTTTTTTTTGTTTGTTATAAATTGGATTGGCCGCGTTAGAACGGTGTACTCGCATACAAACAACAAATACATTCCTATATATATGTATTGTCACCCCTCCCATTACCGAGAGGTTTTCGCCCGAAAGTCCTAAGAGAAAAAGGAGAAAGTGAAGGTGGAGTAGGGGGAAATATAAGAAGAAGTAATTTATATTAAAGACGAAGGGATTCGGGCGACTTACGATTGTATTTCCTATAGTTACGGCCTTTATTTTCCTCGGCCGTGATATAGAGAACTCGGCGGCCGCCTTTGATGATTGATGCTTTCCCGGGAAAATCCTTCTCCACGGCGGCCGGATGTTGTTCAAAGGAATTCCGCGGGGTTACAATCCAAGTATACAAACATACATACACACGGGTAGGTAAGACGGCCCTCATAGAAGGGAACCACCGACGGTATTTACCGGCTTATACCGCACGCGGTTCGTTGGCTTCCTGTTCGGGCGCGATAAATTTCCAGATAGAGAGAGAGAGAGTGTGTGTGTGTGTGTGCTGTGGCTAGACTCTTAAAAACGGGATTGCTTTTGAAAACGTAAATCAAAATTCAACTATACACTCGGGCGAGGGCGAATAAAGCTTAGGTACGCGTCCGCCGAGGGAGAATAGCGGTTTTTATTTCTTCCGAAATTAAGTTTACACGTGAACGGGCCAGGATCACCGTTCTATAACGTCCAAAAGATTAGATTTATTAACATAAAGAAAACATACGAAAAGAGCAGAAATGATATTTCATAGAGTACAGGCATGACGGCTGGAAGTCAAAAGTCACAAACCGTCCACTTCGTCAAACTTACTGATACGTCCGGGACTGAACGAGAGAAAGTAAGCAAGTGGGTTCTTATATTGCTGCCGTTGTACGAACCAAGCACAAGAGTGTAAAACAGCCGCCGACAAGTATTGTGTCGTTAAAATATTTATAAGCTATTTTTCCGGACGAACAAGTCGCGCTCCATGAATTTTTATCAAACGATTATCCGGCGGGTCCGATACGCAGCAATAGGGTGGTGGTACACACGACCGATACCCTTTGTGAGCCGAACACTTTGCTTCCCCAAAGTATTATACACACCTGTATATAATGTAATCCCGGACGCGTTTTGCATAACGTAATTATAGCCATAAATCGACAGCGGCCCAGAGAGGGGACGCGGCCAGGAGAGCATTCAAATACAGTATAAATCCGTAGTCCTTTAATCGAAAACCGGCAAGGTTAATTTCGGACTGGAATAATATACCGACCGGATTCGCGACACACATGCAAGTCGAAACTTTGGCTCGTGTTACAGTTGTGAGCATTTACTTAGCTAGACCAAACGCTCGTGTGGGTATTTTTTTGTTTTGGCAATTGAGTTGACCAACGGCCGTAAAGTCCAATTAAAACTACAACTTCAAACGAAACTTGAACCGCACGCATTAAGACTTTGCGCCGTCGTTGTTGTTAATCTCTTCGGGTTACACAGAAACGGCTTATCGTATAAATTCTACCAAGATCCGTCCAAGAGATTTCATATCTTCTTCCGTTATAGTCGTACATGACTAATCCACCCAACAATATGACCGTTTAAGCAAAAACTAATTATGTCCAGAAATTTTGTTGGCAACACCATAGCTGTTATTAATAGTATGCTATTATGCTCCTTAAATAAATTGATCTTAATATGCAATCTTATCTTGATGCAAACTATTTCTTTTGCGATTACGAATCATATTATCCTGTTTAAACTGACTTGCTTTTAACGACGAGGATAAATAGTAAAAATCTCCATCGAACATGTATGGTATTTTTGTTTTTAATTAGAAGCTTTCTGTCTCGAAAAAGAATGCATTTACACGGTTTTGTTTGCAAAGTCAATATCTGCGATTAGTTAATTCCGTCGACGAGATGTTCGTCAACTGTATATAATAACGCTATGCACATTATTATACATGTTCAGCAAACAAGGGATTTCCGGTCATTGTTGCGTCGTTATCCTTTTCGGTGTTGAGCTTTTGACGCTGTGCAGGGCGGTACTACCTTTATTGTTTCGGACAAACCGAACGGAGCACTTTTCAAAATTAAAAGAGGGGGCGGCACGTCAAACATACGAACATGAGGCATCGTATAAAAATAATCCTAAAGCTCTTTGTTGTCTTTGTACCTATATCGGTTACAAGCCGATGACGCGCTTACAAATTAATTACATTTTCTTCTTACCGAAAAAAACCGTAAAAAAAATTCAAACCCTACACTACCCAAAACCGTCCGGCGAGACAACTCGATTACAAGTTAAGATAAAGTATTGGTTTCGACTATGATAGGAAAAACTATTGTCGTGAGTTATGCGCGCCAAACGTTGTGCGATTTGGCAAAGTAAGCGAATTCTGAGTTGTCCAAAATATGTTTTATGCGCTGAGAGAAGAAAGAAAAAGAATTGACCCGCCGGCCCATATTTTATTATTATTATTATATGCTATACCACACGAATTCTATGTATAAATCATGCGTCGTTGACAGTCCGGGAGACCTCCGGAAAATTTAAATCCTTTTCAAATATAGATTTAAAAGATAGCAAAAGTTTTTGTTGCTCTCCCCCATCTCCTATTTTTGTCAACCGTCGGTGGCACCAAACTTTTATTTATTACCGATGTTGACACAACAGAAATTATTACTATTTCCATATTATTATCAGCTACTCTAGCCGTCGGGAAATATTTTCCCCGTAACTACTCACGGTGTCCGCATAGAAACCAAACCACCAGGCACCATAGTCCGTAATTCTGTTTCTGTTATCGAGGTTAAGTCCGGAATAAACGAAGATAGGTTTTTTTTGGTTTTTGCTTGACATGGGAAAAACATAAGCCGTTGTCTTGTATCCAATATGAAAAAAACCGTTCCCTATAGTCTAATTCGACTCAATTCGTTTAACGTGTAGAATATATTGTATTATTTTCCGGTACCGTATAGGGGAAGAGAGTCCGCGATAAAGATCAACGGGGAAGGCGACGTTTGCCGGAGAATTCAATATCGGCGGCCAGCACCCACAAAAGAGCTGCAGCACAAAAGGCTACACGGTTTTGTGTCGTCATGACAACGTGGGCAACCCTCATTTGCTTAACTGACCGACCGCTACTCGCTTCCCTCCGCCGAAGAATGATGATGATAATAGTAATAATAACATGCCACGTTTTCACGTCAGATCAGATACATGTGTGTCCGCTATAGACTATATTGCTTTGCAACACTTACCCGAGCCAGCTGCTTTTGAAGTTTGGAGTTCAACGTTTTTTCTCGCTGAGCGTTTCTGCGCTCGGTCACCAATTCCGATTCCAGTTGTACGATCTTCGCTTCCAAGTACTCCTGAAAGACAAATAAAAATAATTTAGAATTAGCATCGGATCATGTGTATGAAATCACAGACTGTACAATAACTTATTGATTGACTAATGAAAGTTGGTCCTTCGCACCAGACTACAAAACAAAATACCAATACGGGGAAAACAGTCGGATATCTATTTTACAACCGGTGTTCATCATTTGTTATCAAAGAACAGAGGGCCAAAAGCATAAAGACGAATGCATTCCTGTACGGTTTTTCGTTTGAGAAGAATGACTTACGGAGTTGATGGACCGGAAGTATCAATTGAATTTGTGAAAGAGGAAAACATTGTTGTTCGGTAAAAAAAAAAAGGGTCTGACGATGGCAAACGCGTCCGCCATATAAGAATCTAATAACGTCGTCCGAAAAAGGGCGACACAGGTGACTTGAAAAAAATCAATCACATATAAAGTAGATTGCAAAAAAAACAGTATCTGCTTTTTGAAATCGGAAGTCAATCGTTAACGGATTTCCAAGTCGCTTTTTAATTTGCGCAGAGATCTCCAAATATTGGTATTTTCAACATAATTTATGATTAAGTACTATGACCCTTATTTTTTAGCAATTACAGTCTTTGTGTGTGTATCGTTTTCAACAGTATCCAACGTTTTAAAACGTGGTACAATTTTGCTCAAACAATAATTATTGTCATGTGGTTTTCAAGCACCGGCCTTTTCCTGTGTGAAAGTTAATCGCGACCACTCAAATCCAAATTTTAGCATCATCTTACCGTGACCACAGTGTTGTCAGCAAACGATGCATCAGTGTTTTGATACGAATTTTGTAAGAAACATTGAGCATAATTAATAGCGTTTTGTAGCCCCCTAAACGCCCTGATCTATACTATTATGGAAATTAAATACGAACACCGGTGTTGTCACATCAAAGTGTTGCTACGCTGCGATTCAATTATTGAGAGGAGAGACCTTATGGTATTATGAAACACGGTCGGGGTTCGTTTTGCTTGTCAGACAAAGTGACGGGGCGAGACAAGGGTACGACGAGCTAAGTCCCGGACGCCGAACACTGTGAAATAGACGACCGTAAGAATAGGGAAAACGGGATTTTCAGGCTCTGTAATTGGACGGATTGCAGTACACGTTGACAAACGATTGCAACAGCCGTGGATGTGCCTGGCCGGGGAAGTAAAGATTTTCGGGATGCCATCAATAACGGTGCATTAATAAGTTGGCTGCTTAAACGGGAATTTGTCAAAACTAAGTGTCCCGGCAAAACCTTTTTCTGGGCGCTAACTTGATAATAAGTACACGGCTACGGTAGTGTTATGTGTACTATATTGTATTGTTCTATAATATGCTCGAGTTGTTGTTATACATCATTTTTCAATTGTCAGCAAGGCAGGACGACAATACAATCCGTGTACCCTCCGGGAATCGCGTCTTCTCTTGTTTTAGCAATTCCCCGGACGACCGCCGCTAAGATTAATCGATCCAAGGTCCGAGGTCGTCGATCACCGAGACAATATCCCATCGGACGTCCAAACGCCGTGGACCGTACAAAATACACCGACAACGAGCACACGTTAAATTGCCTAATAAAAACCATCGACAGATATCGTCTCGAAGACATTGCGACGATCCTGTGATCGACTTCCAGATCTCCAATAAACCATACACAGGTCTCAAACCATTAAGTCAGCTCTGCGGGTCGAGGTTAACTGACTATCAGATTTACAATTAGTCGCAGTGTCCGTCAAGAGAACGCGGCCAATGATGAATGACAATTGACCGTTTCCATTGAAATAGCTATTCACGTTGGACGTGATGTTTTTAAATTATTGGAATCTTTTGAGTTAAATACATTCAACGAAATTATCTGATACAAATTGGCCAATTATTCACATGTTAACAGAACAATCCATGTGCCATCTTCTTTGAAGAAGTTTGCAGTCTTCTTGGAAATTGTAACCGAATAATTGGATGAAGTCAAATATAGAATTCCTAAAAGTATCTGGCGTGGGTATCTGTGCAATATATTTACACAGAATAACTGCAGTAAATATTATGATATAGAGAGATTTACAAGGAAATGCGATACTTGAGAGTTGTAGGTATCTAATAATAATTTACCTAGAAATCCGTTGGCGTTTTTCTTCCTAAAATAAATGCTGTCAAACATTTTCAGTGTAAAATAATGTGTGAAAACTCGGGGCAACAACCAGACATATTCATTTTTATGAAAAATTTGGTTTTTCAGGGGAAATGATCTACATTTTGTGAAAAAAACAGTCAAATTAGACTATCACTTACAAATATAATACAAAACGCATTATCTCCAGCCAGTGTTAGTGTAAATGGGATAAAGAATTTTATTCATGTCTGATTGTTGCTGCATTTGATTTTCTGTATCCGACAAACATATAAACGACCGTGTCTACAATAAAAAACGGTCGGCAAAATCCAAGTAGTACAAAACGCGTTTTCAAATAAAACCGGCAAAACCTTATACTTAATGTGTGACGCTGAAATTTCTAGTCGTTTTTCAGAGTCCAATTATTATGAAAACCGTCGAAGCGAGTTGCCAGTACTGAGAAACGTCAAAAATTTAACGAGAAAGCTAACCCTTTGAAGTTTCCGTACACCCTCGTGCGTTTAACGCCAACGAAATTGGAAAAGTCATCCGGCGACGACAGTAACAAGTCATAAGTCTGTACTTCCCTAATAAAACATTTATATATTTTTTTCAGTTCCGCTTGAGCGTCACTCTTACATAACGCTAAAATGTAATACAACAACAAATGAATATTGCCATTAACAGTACATTAAAGTACAGCACAAACGGTGTTATTATCACAGCGCTGACGTTTTTTTTTTTTTTAGCATTTTGTAAACTAATGTAGAAAAAACTTTTTTATTATTATTGACAAACATCTTATTAACAAACCGTTTCGAATCTTCAGTTTCACTTTCGAGTAAATAACAACAAAAACTACAGAATAACAATAAAAAATTACCAATATTAAATGTTGGAAATGAAATGCAATATTGAAAGCTTCTTGCATTTTCGGCGAATAAGATTTTTTTTTCTATTTTCTTTGTTAAAGGTACTTTATTTGCTTGGTCGGAGAGACCAGGGCAAAATACATAATATTAAGACTGCCGCTTTGATGAATAATTCAATGAAATCCATTTTCCAAACTATTCGCAGCCGTTTCAATCGACAATAAAATATCGAGTAGGTAAACAATACAATATATTATTATAATCCCGTGCGAGGCTGTATCGAATAGAGCCGCGTCCGTTGGGTAAATACTTGCAATAAACAATCAGTTTAATTGAACACTAGACAGTCATAATTGTTGATGATTGATTGGTACGATGGAACATTAACATTGTAAATCGACTAGTGGTAAACTAAAGGTGGTTTACACAGTTACATAGAAAATCTTAAGTAACACATACTAGTATCGGGTCGGTCGATTCAGTTAAGATAATAACATTGAACAAACATCAGAGGAAACGACGATTGGGTTTAACTGCAAAACGTTGATGAACAAACAATTGATATGTGTTGATATTCTCAGCTAGGCAGCACGACACTGTTGTTGTACCAAGTCAGGAGAACGATCCGATAAAGGCATGTGAAAATTATGTGTTTAAGTAGCACAACTGCTGCTGTGATAGCCAGGTATCGCAGGGTGTAAAACTGTATATGCAGGTGTTCGAGGTACACTAACCCAAGTAGGAATACGGTATAACGTTATACCTTATAATACCGTATAATAACACACCGTGAGATTTACAACGTGTGTGTGTGTGTGTTATTAAACGACGCTCATCCGTGTGTTCTGATACGATGTAATGGTAAAAGATATTAATATAGCGCATGTAGGTAATGATGATAATAATAATAATAATAACATGAGGCTGTTTAACACTGTATGTACAAAGCAAACGGTAAAATAACGGCTCTGGGCGACCTAGAAGCTCGAGGGGGAGGGAGAAACGTTAAGTCCAAGGGTTAACTTAATGTAAATATGCGTCGCGCCATCGCCCAGGTGCATTGGTACGGGATTAATGGACCCTGAGCGTTGTTATTTGTACACGAGCAAACTGCACACGAGATAACGCCGTCAGCGACCGGGGGAGGGTTGACGACCCGATGGGTTTGTTTGATTATGGTATAGTCTCTGAGTAAACATTCAACCAGACAACGTCTGATAATTATTATTCATAATATTTCACCAGGAGCAACCTAGTACAAAGTCGTTCATTAGATCTCTCTCTGGCTCGCCAAAAGCTGTTCGTCAAAGATTTGCCAAACAGTATAGCTGTTACTAGTGATAAGGAGTCATCACATGATCCAATATATCCCGTCGGATACCTTTTTCTATAAAGTCAGGTGAATAAGTTCTATAACCGTTTTGAAACCTAATATTATGTTTTTCATAGATTGCGGTTTTTAAAGAAGTTGTAGTGATCATTGCGTTGATAATATTTTAGGGCCTTTTTCTAGATTGTAATCATAGAAAATTGTGTAGCAATACTTTATTGGAAAATATTAACTCACGTGAGTACGAGGAAATTTGTTATTCTTTTTTAAATAAAAATTTGCTACAATGTGTCTTAACTTTCCAGAATTTGAGCTGGTCAAATATTATCCAGTATAATATTATGTGGAGTATTATCATCGGCTTAAGCGCCACTATCTAGGTCACCTCCGGGTAATCATATTACTGTTATCATAGTACAATAATAAGCGACACATCTGTGTCGATAATGATAACGTATCGAAAATGAATAATCTCACAAGTCTCAGACAATATTATTATTACTATTTTATTGTTTCATGTGTGTTATTAGAATCAAACACCGACGAGTGATAATAAAATATTTGTTTAAAAAATAAACAAATAAAAAGATCGGTAACATTGTATTTTATGTTTTCCTGTAAGGTAAGATTCCAATAAAATAGTATTGTACCATATTTTAAATTATTACTTCTTTTCATTGCGGCATCA